TGGTTTAGCACAGGGGTTGTCTATCTTACTGTGGGTATTTTGGGCTAGATTAATCTTTGTTGTGGGGGCCTGTCCAGTGCATTATAGAACGTTTAGCAGCATCCGTGGTCTCTACCGCCTAGAAGCCAGTAGCGTTCTCTCCCCCAGGTCATGACTATCAAAAATGTCTGCAGACATTGCCAAATGTCCTCTGGATTTAGCAGTATGAGGAACAGTGTCTATGAGTCTCCTGGATTTTGCCTCATGGTCACAATATGACTGCCACAGCTCCAGACATCCCACCCACATTTAGGCCAGAAAGAACAATAAGGGTACCAACTGCCTCTGTGTCTTTTAGCAGAAAAGTGGAAGTTTTCACAGAGGCCGCAACAGGCTTCCACTTAGGTCTCATTGGCCCCAACGGGGTGACATGACATGGCCACCCTCTGCTGCAAGGAAAGCTGGAAGAGCAATGATATATTTTTCCAACCCTTTAGTGGTAATGGGTAAGGAAGAAGAGGGTGGGAGTGGCTGCCCACAGTGCCCGCCACTATCCTGGGACTTTTATACAAGGGCACCTGTCTTCACCACTCTTAAACATCAAGACTATGTTACTTTACTGGGGTTGAGCTGAAGGTTTTAAAAAGCGGTGAGATCTTGGACCTGGGAATGTATTTTGCAATCTGACTTGTCTGGAAATTCCATATCTACATCTCAGGCCTGCCCCCCGTGGTTCGATAACCTCTTCACTCCTTCCCCTTGCTCATGCACTCACACTTTCCCAGCCTTTCCTGGGTTCCTGGGACAGGATTTCCCTCCGACTGAGAAGTTAGGGAAGCCTTGGCTAGCCACGGATGGAAAGAAGATCCCAAGTCAGTGTCCCAGTGACAGCACTGCAGGGGTGACTGAGATCCGGTGACCAGTGCCAGGCCCTGTGCTCTGCCCATAGAATCACAGGATCCTCCCACTGACCATGTGGCAAGCGCTATAATTATCCCCATGTATAGAAGGTTTGTTAAGGATGATGGCCAGGGCCACACGGCTAGTGAGGGTAGGGCTGGGAGCCTAGGCCCCCTGGCCCCAGCCCTGCTCCTTGTCCCTTCTCTGTCCAGCCTTGGGGCAGCCTGTTCATGGCCACACCATCCAGGACCACATCAGTGTGGGTTGTGGCTCTGAGAGCTGGCTGATAAATGGCCTTTGCCATTTATCCCTTGGTCAAGGCTGCAAGCAGCATAGGCTCAGAGAGCCCAGGGCTGGTCAAGCCTGGAGCCTGCTCTGTCCTGAGCTTGCCCATCAGGACAGGGGTTTGGACTAACTGCCCTTATTGATTCATGAATCAGGCGAGCAGGGCTAGAACTGCTAACACCCCCACTGCAGCTCAGGTGACAGCTGGGGTGAATGGAGTCATTTCCTCCCAGAAGTTCTAATCCTGACTTTCCCTTGCCCCACTTGGCTGTGTGGTCTTGGGCACTTCACTTAGCCTCTCTGAGGGTGCACCTGCCCCACCCTAAAGCAGGGAGACAATGTCTTCTAAATGCTGTTGGGGAACAAAATGAGATCAGGGACCCAGCTTGCCGTGAACTGCCCCTGGTGGCATTAGAGAAGCCACGCTGAGCCTCGGTCCTTTCCCTTTTTTTTTTTTTTTTTTTTTTTTTGAGGAGTGTTGCTCTGTTGCCAGGCTGGAGTGCAGTGGCGCCGTCTCAGCTCACTGCAACCTCCATCTCCCGAGTTCAAGTGATTCTCCTGCCTCAGCCTCCTGAGTAGCTGGGACTACTGGCACACACTACCATGCCCAGCTGATTTTTATATTTTTAGTAGAGACGGGGTTTCCCCATGTTGGCCAGGATGGTCTCAGTCTCTTGACCTCGTGATCCGCCCACCCCGGCCTCCCAAAGTGCTGAGATTACAGGCGTGAGCCACCGCGCCCAGCCCTCTCCCTCTTAAAACTGGGCCAAGAGCACCTACGTATGACAAAGGCGGTTTCCAGATTATCACTTAATGTATGTAAGACACCCAGTCCAGGACTAGCCTAAAACAGGCATTCCAAGGCAACTGACCTCGATTGTTATTAGTGATTTGTAAAGAATTGACCACATGAATGGACCCAGCACTTAGAAAGTCCTCATTAAATGGCAGGAGCTGTATTTCTCACTTCTGAGCCTTTGCATGCTCTTCTCTGCACTGCTCCCTCTGTGCAAACGGCTGTCTCTCTCATAGCTCCCAGAGGCCTTCCCTGTGGACACCAGCCCTCTTGGCCTCCCCTGGACCCCTCCTCTTGTGCTCTACTCAGCACTTGCCTAGGAAATTTTCTCTACATAGAACTCTAATACTAAACATTTTCATTCATGCATGGTCTCTTGTCCCCTCTTAAAATGTAAGCTCCAGAGGGATGTTTGTTTCCTACTTGTTGTGTCCCTGGGACCAAGAACATGGGCCTGGCATGTGACGGGCCATTCGTAAGTGTGTGTTTGGAGTCATTCATAAATGTGTGTTTGAGGCTGGGTGCGGTGGCTCAGCCTGTAATCCCAGCAATTTGGAAGGCCAAGGCAGGAGGATTGCCTAAGCACAAGAGTTCGAGACCAGTCTCTACACAAAATATAAAATTATCCTAGCATCGTAATACACACCGGTAATCCCAGTTACTTGGGAGGCTGAGGCAGGAGGATGGCTTGGAGCCGGAGAGGTCGAGGCTGCAATGAGCTATGATCGCTACACTCCAGCCTGGGCAACAGGGCGAGACCTTGTCTCAAAAAAAAATTTTTTAAAAAGTGTGTGTTTGGGTGAATGACTGATTGTTAGGCAGAAGTTGGTGACCCGTGGCGACATGGGGCCGCCGGAGGGGCGGAGAGATTGGTGATCCAGAAACCCAAGGAGGCCGGGGGCGAAGGAGTGCGACTGGACCCGCAGCTGGGCAACCGCGTCTCCAGCCTCCACGGTCCGGTCCCGCCCCCTTCCGGGCAGGCAGAGGCCCCGAGGCTGCCCCGCCGCCTGGGCCCGGCCCCCGCGGCAGCAGCCGAGCGGCCGCACCCCCACTTGGGACTGTCTTGCCGGGAGGGGCGCGGGCGGGGCGGGCCCGGGCGGCGCTGGGACTTGTAGGCCGGGAGCCCGGGCGCCTCCGGGCTGAAGCGCGTGGCCGCGCCATCGACGGGGCTCCAGCCCGCCCAGGTAACGCGACGGCGGGGGACAGCCTCGGAAAAACTGAAGGGGAAACTGAGGCCCGGTGAAGGGACCCAGCTGGCCTAAGAGCATGCGGCCGGGCAGTGGCCGCCTCCCCCGGCCTCTAGGGGGCAAGTGAAGGTCACACTTACATGAAAGTTTTCAAAGGCGCTTCGAAGGGCCTCTGGCTGGGCTGGAGCTTTCCCCCACTGCACCTCCTTCCATCGTGGATACACTCAACAAACATATCCCAGAGCCCTCTCCTTGCCAGGCCCTCCAGCTCGGGCGAAACATCCCAGGTCTCTGTTCTCGCGGCGCCCAAATAGCAGGGGAGGGGCTCCAGGCAGGCGAACACACAGGGCGGGGAGCGGGGAAGCTCCGCGAAGGAAGGAGATGAAACCACGCGGGATAAAGGACAAGAGGGGCCGCGAGCAGGGACAGGAGCGTCAGGAACGAGGAACGAAGCGAGAAGGGAGGAAAGGAGGCCGAGGCTTCCGGAAGACTCGGGGTCCCATCCCCATTGAGCAGAGAGCTAGAGCGGGACCTGGGGGAGGGAGAGGTCAGAGGTCAAGGCTGCGCGTGGAGTGTGGGCCGTGGAGTGGGGGAGGGGGCGGACAGACTCCTCCCCGCCGGCAGCCAGGGCAGAGGGTGATGGAGGAAACGCGGGGAACTCCTCGGTGCTGCAGGAAACGTGGGGAACTCCTCGCCGGCCTCGCGGTCCCCCACAGCCCACGGAGTGCCACTCCCAGTCCCCACAGACTCCACCTGCGTCGTCCTGTGCTGAGGGGAGACCGCAGGGCTGGGGCGGGGAGTGACCCGGCTTAGAGCTGCTGTTTCCCAGCTGCACAGGTCCCAACCGCGGGTTCTGGAGATGAGGCGGGGTTGAGGTCCCCCAGTCCCAGCCTCAGAGGTGGAGAGTGTGACCCTCAGGTCCAGGATCCCGGGGCCTGCGCAGTCACACGGCCCTTCCCTTCGCTCAGAAAAGCCCAGGGCTGGGTTTCATGCTCAACCACTGCCAACTTGAAATTCCTAGGTTTTGAATTAGGGGCCCCGCGTTTGCATTTTGCACTGGGCCCTGAAAATTCTGTGGCTGGCCCTGCCTGGTGTGAAGCTCACAGAGCCCCAGTATAGGCCGCCCTTCTATGGCTGGGGGCCGGGATGAGGGACCGGGGTCTGCTCTCAGCTTGCCCCCAAAGGTCCCTGACACCAGCCCAGAACGGGGTGGAGCTGGAAAGAGCCCACAACTGCTTCCTCTGCCCAACCGCTTCTATGGCTGCACCCTGGTGTAGCTCCCTCCGGGGTCGTATGCTGTATGTTTACTGGCGGAATTGTTTCTCAGTCCTAGACGCTCCGTGGGGCCAGGGAATATGATCTGTGCTCCGCTGCAGCCTCGCGCCCAGTGACGCATGGGGGCCCTGGTAAATATCGGTCGGATGAACTAATCTTACACATAAAACAGAAATCATTTCACTTCTTTAATACGACACGTGGCTGTTCCCTAAGTCGCCGTGGGTTAAATACAGACTCAATAAACAAGATGCTAAAAACCGTTTACATTTAATTCACCAGACGGTGCGCTCCACGAGGTCAGGGGCCTGGCCTCCCTGGTTTAGGGCTGTGCTTAGTGCCTGCAACCAGGCGGGCCCGCGGGGGCAGCGCCCCCAGGCCCGGATCCGCCCTCAGCCCGCGTGCGCGCCCCTCCCCCCGATCTCCGCGCGCCCGGGCGCGGCTGGGCGGGGTTGGGACTACGCTTCCCGGCGGTCCCCGCGCGCCTGGGGCGGGGCGGGGCCGGCTGGGGGCGGGGTTGAGCTGGCCGGGGGCGGGGCCGGCTACAAAGCCCGGGGGCGGCGCCGGGGCGCAGAGTCCCCGCAGCGCCGGTCGGGAGCGCAGCGCGGCGCAGTTCGGCGCGCACGGCGGGAGCGGCGCGCGAGTGGTCGGGCCTGGCGGCTGGACGGGCGCCTCTCGCTGCCCCGCGCGCTCCCCGCCGCCCCCCATGAGCGCAGCCCCGCGCAGCCCGGGTCCGTAGGCGGCGGGGCGCCCCCCATGCTGCTGCAGCCCGCGCCGTGCGCCCCGAGCGCGGGCTTCCCGCGGCCCCCGGCCGCCCCCGGCGCCATGCACGGCTCGCAGAAGGACACCACGTTCACGAAGATCTTCGTGGGCGGCCTGCCGTACCACACCACCGACGCCTCGCTCAGGAAGTACTTCGAGGGCTTCGGCGACATCGAGGAGGCCGTGGTCATCACCGATCGCCAGACGGGCAAGTCCCGCGGCTACGGCTTCGTAAGTGGCCCCCGCGCCCGGGCCCGCACCCCGCCACACACCTTATCGCGGCCCGGGCGCCGAGTCCACTCCGGGGCACACGCCCAGCCGGCTCGCGGCCGCCCCCGCCCCAGGCGCCTCCCGCCGGCGCCCGCACCTGCCGCCTCCCCCGGGCGCGCTCCTGCCGGTCCCGCCCCCACCACCCAGGGCCCGGGGCCCTGTCCCCACCCCCACCCCCACCCCTGGTTTAAAAGGAAGAGCCGCTGTGTTCAATTAGGACTCCTAAGTTGGTGGGGAGGTTTTGGAGCCAGTGGGTACTCCGGGTTTCCTGGAGCAGCGGCGGGTGAGGAGCAACGGCTCCACCCCGGGGTGTTAGGAGCCCTTCGGCCTCCCCCATATTTTCAACAGCCCCCTCAGCCACCCCAAATAAACATCAGCTTAAGTAAAAACGGTTTGAAGACACTTTCCTACTTCCAAGTGCAACGTCGCAAACTCCTTCCCAGAGGGAAGTCTTGGCCCTCACTGGTGGGCAGTCCAGGCAGCCCCCCCACCTCCCTTCGGGGTTCGTTTTTGCCCTGTCCCCGCAGGGGATTATTTTTGTCCTTGAAGGCCACATTTCCCAGGCCTTGAACTTTGAGGAGAGGAGCTGGAATCCAGGAGGCATCTTTGTGGGAGGACCCCAGGTAGGGGTCAGAGGGGCTTTGGCTCAAGGACCCTAGGTTACAGGCACCCTCAGAGGAAGGGAAGAGAGGGGTGGCAGCATCCGGTGCCAGGGCGGAGCCCTCTGCCCCTTTTGCCCCTAGTTTCCCTCACGGCAGCCCCTGATGTGTCTGTGGCTCCTCCAGGTGACCATGGCCGATCGGGCGGCAGCTGAGAGGGCTTGCAAAGACCCGAACCCCATCATCGACGGCCGCAAGGCCAACGTGAACCTGGCATATCTGGGCGCCAAGCCTCGGAGCCTCCAGACGGGTGAGAGCTTGTGTTTTCCTGCTTGGCTCTTCTCGGTTTCTATATTGGGTGTCGGTATCTGTCGGGTGGAAAGAGGCCCCCCCTCCTCGCCCCAGCAGTGGCAGTCGGCTATCATGTGCCTGCAGAGCTGCCACAGGGCAGCCATCCCCCCCTGGAGGATCTAGACCCCTTCTCACAGCGTGTGGCCCACAGAAGGGGGCGGGGGGGGGGCAGGGAGGGTACTGCATCCCAGTTGCCAGCTGTCTTCGCAGGAGGGAGGAAGTGGCCAAGGGGCCTGGAGATTGGGAGTGCCGACACCAGTGGCTGCTGACACCTGCGTCACTGGCTGCCACACTTCAGAGGTGTGCTTTAGGGTTCATGAGGGGGAGGCCTGGGAGGGGAGAGGAAGCTGATGATCCCTTTTGACTAGAGATGTGTGACTTGTGGGATTCTGCCACCATGTGTGCAGCCCCTGAGACATCGCTCCTGCAGCAAGGCCAAGTCCCTGATTGTTCTCTCGTTTTAGGCTTTGCCATTGGGGTGCAGCAGCTGCACCCCACCTTGATCCAGCGGACTTACGGGTGAGTGGATGTGGCTGGCTTGGGGTGGGCAGTCCTTGGAGATGAAGTGGAGAGGGCCTTGGGCTTCCTGGGTCTGGAAGGCTGATGAAATGACGGTTTTCAGACATGTGATTGCGTTTAAGCCAAGGGAGTGAAGAGAAGGCAGATTGCATTTCTCCATCCCTGGCAGAGGCCGCACCACCTAGGGGATCGTGAGCCTTGGAGCCTGCCTGCCTTGGTGCACACCCCAGCTCCCTTTGCTAGGTGTATGGCCTTAGTTTTGTCACGTGTAAAATGAGGGTGGGCACAGCACATCTGAGTTCTCTGAATAAGAGGGTTTAGGGTGGGCCTGGTGCAGGTAACGCCCTATTAAAGTGTTTGCTGATGACTCTTAGGGACTGGCAGGCCGGGCTCTTCCCCAGGCGCTCCTGTCACCTACTCTAGTGCTGGGGCAGGTGGTGGCAATAGGCCATTGCCTCCCAGGTCTGATGTTTGAACGCTGCTGCAGATACGATGTGTTCGGGGCGGAGGCCACCTGCTTGAGTGGCCTGGCCTGTGGGCTTCTAGTCTGACTCATTTAGAAGCAGCACATCCCACTCTTCTCCATCCTAAAATGCCTCCCACCTCCCTGCCCTTTTTAAAACATCTGATAAGGCCTGGCAGCTGCTTGGGGAAGGACACGCACACTTAAGGGATACAAAGGGTCCTGCCTTGTGTCCTGCCTCCCCACCCCGGTGATGGATGGGAGCTGTCTGCCCTAGCACCGTGGCGTATTGATGGGGTTGGAGTTGGAGGGGAAGGCAGCTCAGAGACCACCACCCCTTTTAGGGCATTGGCACTTCATGAGCTTTCTGAATCCGAATCCCTAATGCCAGTTGATCATGTGTGTGCACACACACGTGCGTGCACCGTGTGGATATCATGGAGAGACACACAGCTTGAGGAGTAACCTGCCTCACCGGGGCAGTGTGAACAAGGGGCCTGTGGAACCGGGCTGAGCCTGGCTCCCAGGTGAATGGGTCAGAGGCCCCAGCAGAAGTTGTTGTGCCCACTTTTTGGGAGCGCTTGGGGTTACTTGGGGGCTCCCTGCCAGCTTCCGTGTGTACTAGTGGATGTGTGCAAGTATAGCAATGGGAGGAGCCGCTGGTTGAGGGGTGCTGGAGGGTGGCGGGGCCCTCCTAGCCTGTGTAAGTGGCCGGGCAGCTCAGCTTCCTGCTGGGGTGCCTCTGTCCTCCTGGGAAGGGAGTATGTAGGGTGGTGGGAGCAGGCCGCCCTGTCCGTCTCATCCTGGAATCTGTTTTGTAGATGTCTAGAATCGTCTTAGAGGGTGTTTGGGGACACTCCAGCCTTCATGCCTTCACCAAGATTCTTCCTCTGGGGTTCAGGCCACAAGAAGAGGGTGTTCCTTGTTTTTCAGAACCTTGGCTCTGTTCCCCAGGCCCACAGCAGGCGCCTGGAGGCATGGGCTGGGCAGGAGCCGCTGCCCAGAGGCGAGGGTGTGCGCCTCCAGTGCCTGCAGCTCTTTTCTGCTTACGGTGGGATGAGGCCTTCCCACCTGCATCTGGGCTCTCTCTGATCCACGCAGCTGCCTGTGGGACTCCATAACCATCAGTGCTCGGCCTCTGGGGCTTGCAGATGTGGGTTCGAATTCTGACTTTGCCGCTTACCAGCTGGGTCTGTCTTGGCAGTGGCATCCTCCTTATCCAGAAAACAGGAACATTAACTGCTTAAAACAGTGGGCTGAAACTATTCTTACTTTATAGGTGGGGAAACTGAGGCAGAGAAAGGCTAACCACATGTCCGGGCCCGGGGAGGGGGCGAGGTAATAGACGTCCGGGAGGAGATTAGAACACAGGTAGTGAGTGCCTGAACATATGCTTTCTTGGTGGGGTAGGGTGGGAAGGGCCCCAACCTGACCTTTCCCTTGCTGTCCTGGAATCCTGTGAACACCACCCATCCAGAAGCAGTTGGGATCAGTCACAGTGTTTGCCACTGTGTGCACCCGACTTCAGGCGACGGTGTTTTGTAACTAAATCTGCTGGCTGGCCGTTAATACCTGTGACGGTGAAGAGGCCGCAGAGTCTATTCGTTGGTTGCCAAAGGGTGGAGACCCAAACAGGGACGGTGTCAGAGGGACCATCCGCTCTTGGTCTCCTGGGAGATCTGAACTCAAGCCTCTGAGAATTGCGCCGCCCGCTGCCCCTGCCTCTAGGCCTTACTGAGGTGGGTAGGGGGAGGCTCCCGGGTGCAGCTCCTGGGTGCAGCGGGGCGGGCTGCCTGGGTCAGCTGTCTGCCCCCAGCCCCCGCCCACTGGAGAGCTGGGCCGTCAGCGTCCCTTTTGTCTTTGTGAACAATCAGGCCCCAGGAGCACAGCCGGGCCTGACTCAGCGGCCAGTTTTGTCGGCCTTGGGCTGGCAGCGAGGCCCGCCCTGCTGTTGGCTGAGGGCATGGAGGGAGGTGGGAGCCAGGAGCCCGGGCAACTGAGGGTTGTCCACCAGTTAACCCCTTCCATGCCTGGCTGAACTCTTCCTCAACTTTCTGACCCCGACCTTTTATACCTTGCCCTGGACAACTCTGAAGATCCCACAGCTCTGCTTTTAGGCAGGACCCTGTGGAATCTTCGCCTGGCTGGGTCTTAAATGTTAGTTTAGAATGATTTACCAAAGAACTTCACACTTTATGCTATTTGCCGGGATTTCCTTGCCTCTTTCCTTTTTTTAAGTTGAACAGGCTCTGTGAGACCTAACTCACCTGTGCATTTCTAACTATGTGGCGGGGCCAACGTCCGCGGTTTGGAGGAGCCTTCCTCTGCGGTGGCAAGTGCAGGAGCCGGTGGCCCTGGCCCGCCAAGGGTGTCTGCCAGCTGAGCGTGTCCGTCACCTGCTGGAGGGAGGGGAGCTGCAGCCATCTGGAGAGGGTCTGTGCCCAGGCAGAGCTTAGTCTGGCCTGGAAGGTGCCCTGGTGTCAGGGGGTGTCTGTCCATTCCTGGGCTGAGGGCACCGGGAGTAGAGGTTTGTCCTGGGCCTGGCTGCGCCCAGAGCCTCTCCTTGGGTTATTTTTGAAGGACCAGCTGCTTCCCTGGGTGCAGCTCTCCCTGCCTGTTAAGGGGGCCCGACTGTGGCCTTGACTCCCGTTCACTGAGTGCCTCGCTATGTACATTCTAGAATGTTGGAAGGGGGTGGAACATCCCTGGCCTCCACCCCTAGAAGCTAGTAGCATTGCCTCCCCCAAGTCATGACTACCGAAAATGTCTCCAGACATTGCCAGTGTCCCCTGGGTTTAGTGGTGTGAAGACGAGTATCTGTGAGTCTCTTGGACCTTGCTTCATGGTCACAAGATGACTGTCACAGCTCCAGACGACACAGCCACGTTCAGGGCAGAAAGGACAATAAGGGATAGTACGAACTGCCTCTGTCTCTTCTAGCAGAAAAATGGAAGCTTTCACAGAGGCCTCAACAGGCTTCCACTTAAGCCTCACTGGCCACAACGGGGTGACAGGACATGGCCACCACAGGGGCTCTGATATGACAAGACAGGCTCCTGGGACTCCGGGGTGTCAGATACAGGCCGTATCCAGGCCCTGGGGTCTGCCTGGGCTTGAGGCCAGGCCCAGCCCGTCTCTGCAGGCTCGTGCCCATCTGTGAGTGAGAATAGTAACACTGCCTTCTCTACAGGGCCAACTTGACTGTGTGTGGAGGGCCTGGCCATGGGAAGTCACAGTCGGTCAGTGACGCATCTCTCGCCGGCCCTGCTCCAGGGTCTGTTGATGGACTGACTGTGCAAAACCGAGGCTCAGAGCAACTGAGAGACTTGTTGGGTTCACACATCCCGGGATGGTGGGGCCTGAGCTGGGGCTCTGCGAGACTCTTGTCCCTCCCCCAAGGACTCAGCATCTCCTTCTGGCTAGATGGCAGCTCTTGGATGAATCAGAGCACAAGGCCCTGAGACTGATGACGGCCGTGAGACCCTCTCCCAGGCATGTGCCTGCCCTACTGTGTGTATAGTTTCAGGGACCCCAACATCCTTCGTGTGAAGGTCTCCGGTGCCCACGTTGGCTGGGTAGTAGATGGCTGCCCTTGCCATCACGGGGCCTTGGTGTGTGCATGCCACGGGGCCTGGATAGAGCACCTGGGTCCCCAGGGTAAGAGGAGGGACTGGGGAGGCAGTGATGGGAAGATGTCTGTCTCCTTGAGAGCATGGGATGCGCAAGCTGGGGAGAGCGTCAGCAGCCACTCCCAGCGTCATTCATCCATCAGGTGTTTATTGAGTGCCTGCTGTATGCCAGGCCTGGTGCCAGGGATCCTTTGAATAAGAAAGACACAGTCCCTGATCTCAGGGTGCTCACATTCTGTTTGTGTACTCATGGGCCCACGTGGCGATGCGTGCAGTTAAACAGGAAGCTGGCGGAATGAGTGCCTGTGTGGGGACCTCACAGTCCCACGTCTCGAGTACAGTGGTGGGGAGATGTGTCTGTGTGTGTGATAAAGCTTCACAGTTCGTGTGTAACTACACGTGACGTATAAGGTTGGTGCGTGCAGAAGATGATGCAGTGTGCTGAAGGCCTGCAGTCCAGGTCATAGCACTGTGCCTGGGTTAGTGTCCTGGTTTTGCTAATGTCCTTAGTTACTCTGATGTGCCCTTGGGGGATGGAGGAGGCAGGGTACACAGGACCTCTCTGTACTGTTTTTGCAACTTCTTGGGAGTCTTTTATTATTTTAAAATACAAAGTGAAACAAAGCCAGATGAGCTGTTTGCAGGTGATGGCGTGTGTGTGAGTGTACGCATGCGCACGTGTGCGAGCGCGCTGGGGAAGGTTCCACTGAGGATGGGGGAAATGGGCCCTATAGGCGTCTGGGGAAGAGTAAGCAGCCCAGGCCCAGGGTGACAGGCGAGCCACAGGTCGCCATGGCGGGCACAGGGTGAGCACCGCAGGGCAGAGGCAGAAGCTGAGGTCAGAGCCAGGCGGCATGGGGGCTGGGAGGAAGTGACTCCCCCACACACTGTGGCGTCACGTTTTCACCCTGAGGGTGTCTCGTGGTGGCCCCGCTGCCCCCCCCAAGGCTTCCTGTTTGGCAGCTCATCTGGAGCCAGGCGTGGGCTGCGCTGTGGCCCTTCTGGGCGGGCGCCCGTGCCGCACCTGTTGTTTGTCCTGTCTGCTGAAACAGAAAGCAGCCTTTGGGTGGCGGGGGCTCCTCTCCGAGCATGAGTTCTCACCCTGGCTCCCTGCTGGGCCTGGGGAGCCACTTCTGGAAGCCTTGGACCAAGGGAGGCAGCTTTGTCTCAGGGCAGAGGCCTGATCACAGAGCGAGGTGGAGGCCCAAGCTCCAGCTTTCCTCGTTTCACCTCAGTTTCACCTTGTGTCCAGGGTGGACAGGCTGAGAACTCTGCAGTGTGCTGGGCACATCAGGACCTTCCCGCTGACATTGTTTGGGTGGAGTAGGGAGTTGGGCATTGGGTCAGCTCGTCTGACAGATCTTGGCTTGCTTTGTACCCGGCTGGGGACGCGTGCCATGGGGGTGAGAGGAGACCCGGTCCCACACCTAACAGTGTTTCCTGCAGCGAGGTTCTGAGAGGAGGAGAGAGACAAAGGAGGTCAGCATGCCTCAGAAGACGACAGGAGCTGGGGAGGGGAAGGGAGCAGCCGGGGAGGCTCAGGGCCCAGGAGGGTGGCCTCAGCTCCTAGACGACTTTGATGACCCAGGGAGGCACTGCGACCTTCCTCCAGGTGACTCCCGGGCCACGCAGGCTCGGAGCAGAGGAGGGATGGGTCAGTCTGCATTTTTGTTTTCAGAGTGTTTTTGTTTCTGGCTGCTGGGTTGAGCCTGGACTGCCGAGGGTTAGGGTGGTGGTTGGAGGCCCTTAGAGGATGCCCAGTAATCCAGGCATGAGACAAGGGTGCTGCCTGCCCCAGCGGCCCTGGTGAGATACAGTGAGATTCTGGGTACATATTTTGAAGAACCTGGGACAGAAGAGTCCAAGAAGATTCTGGAGCTTTGGGCCTATGAAGTGGGAGATGGGCTTGGCCCTGACTGCGGTGGGGGCTGCTATGCAGTACAGTTTTGGGGAGGTCAGGAGTTGGAGTTTGGGCAGGTTCAGCTGGAGATGCTGTTCCAGGCCTGGCATTGCCCCACAGAGAGGACGTTTGACCTGTGTCCTGTGACTGGCTGCCCCACAGAACCTGAATGTCAGAACCAGCTCCCGGCCCTCCCCCTAACAAGTCACTGGGGATTCCCGGGAGGCAGAGCCGTGGCCTGGCTTCCTGCCTGCTGGGCGCCTCGGGGACCTTCCCACACGCAGCCAGGCGGGAGTCAGAGCCCTAAGGGCTGCGGTCTCTCTGCCGCGGTGGGGCCAGGCCCCTGGAGAGCAGGGAAAGTGAAATGGGCTCATTTGCCTTTTTCGTTTTTATTTTCAGAGGCGACTTTATGTTCAGAAAACGAGTCCTCGTGGGCCATGGGCAGTTCTTGTCACCGAGAGTTCTGCTCTGAGTGTGGGCAGCGTGTGTCCCAGGCACCATCTGTGCTTCCCTCGCCCGGCCCGCTGGCGTGGGGTTCTCAGACTGCAGGGGCCCAAGCCCTCTGTCTTGGGGGCAGCATTGGACTCTGCAGCATCCTTAGTGTACAGATGGGGAAACAGAGGCCGGAGGGACTGAGTGATGGTCCATGCGACTTGGACAGGCATGGCCAGGATCTGGACTTGGGGCTCCTCCTGCCCTTGGACCCCTGAGTCTCCGTGGACTGAGTCAGCTGGGGTGCTCTTGGCTGTGTGCTGACCCTGGCTGTGTTGGGGTGCAGATGCTGCCTGGGCCACATGTGAATAGGAAGGGAGGCAGGCACTTCAGATTTCCAGTGTGGACCAGGCCCTGGGTCCCCCTGTCCTCTCCTGGGCTGTGGCAGAGCCAGCTCCTCGTGCATGCCCAGCCCTCCTGGGATGGCCTGGCCTTTCCAGCCCTAATGGTGGCCGGTTTCAGTGACTCCGTGATCTGGGAGTTTGGTGTTGCCCAGGCTCCGGCACTAGAGGGAAGCAGAGAACCCCTAAGTCGTCCTTCCACGAACACCCCTGACCCCAGCTAGGTGCCTGTGCCCAGTGTCCAGCGTCGCAGAGGGGCTTGGGTGGCATGTGGGAGGCCTGTCCCACCCATGCCCCTGGTTTCTTCCTTGACTCTGCCTGGACTTTGCACAAGTGGTGGGATGAATTCTCTGGGAAACAGATTCGCCTCTGATTGGTGCAAGGCCCTTTTCCGGGATCCTGGTGGGAGGATAGAAGTTTTCTGCAGAGGATGAGGAGGCACAGAAGCCCTGTTGTTCTGAGGCCGGAACTTGTAAGGAAACTGGAAGGGAAGGAGGCTCCTGCCCCCTCCTGTGAGGGAACAGCTGGGCCGTGGCTCTGCATCCCTGGGGAACAGATGGGACTCCAGCGGCGGCCGTACAGCGGGCCGATTCCAAAGTGGCTTCTAGAGAGGGAGCAAGTGCCCTGTCCTGAAGAGGCCGACGGGCCCTGGCCAGACAGGAGCAGCCCTGATGGGCATTGGGTCCCCCGACCTTTGGACTCCTACCTGATTGCGCCTGGCCTCTGGTCTGTTGTGCTCACCAAGGGTTCTTGTCTGCTGCCCTCTGGCCTGGGGCTGAAAGTCCTAGGAAAGGAAGGGCCTCTGTTCCTCCCAGCATTCCTCAGGCCCAAGGAGGCATCGATGCTGCTGAGGCCTCTGGGGTGCACAGAGCATTAGATCCTCACAGCAGCCCCCTGGGGCATGTGGTTCCCTAGAGGCAGTGATGAGGTCACCCGGGGCCGCGAGGCACCTGGCTGGGGAGCAGAGGCTGGTGGGCTGTGCCTGTCTGGCTGTGACTTGCTGGGTGGAGCCGTGCCTGCCTGTCCCTCCAGCCTACCCAGCCCTGGCTGCTCAAGGCTGAACTGCTTTCTCTGCCTTCTTGGGGCAGGGACTCTTGGCCTGGGAAGCAGTGGCCATTCCAAGGCGGGGGGCTCTTTTGCCTCCCAGCTGTCTGCAAAGCTGGGAACTGCCTCAGACAGTCAGCACTGGGCACCTGCTGTGCTGGGGCACTTGGGATGCAGCGGCCGAGACCCTGCTTTTGTGGGGAAGACATTGTGCAAGGTAGATGACAAGGGGGCTTCTGATCATAAGAAACAGAGCCGCGGCTCAGGGTGGGCCCCTGAGGGGTGAGCTTTGAGCTGTGGGAAGAAGCAAGTGCATAGGTACAAAGGTCCTGTGGTGGGAAGGAGTCGAATCTGGGAACAGAAGGAGCCCAGGGCAGTGGGAGTGCAGGTGGAGATGAGTTTGAAGAGGTAGGTTGAGGCCTGATAACGCAGGAAGCCACGAGGGAGCAGTTTGGGTTTTCTTCTGGGTACAATGGGAGACAGCTGGAGGGTTCTGCTCCTGGAGGTGATGGGGTCTTCATGTTTTTGTTTGTTTGTTTTTTGAGACGGAGTCTCGCTCTGGCGCCAGGTTGGAGTGCAGTGTCTCGATCTCAGCTCACGGCAACCTCCACCTGCCTGGTTCAAGCGATTCTCCTGCCTCAGCCTCCTGAGTACCTGGGATTACAGGCACGCACCCCCACACCACCACGCCCAGCTAATTTTTGCATTATTAGAGACGGGGTTTCACCACGTTGGTCAGGATGGTCTCGATCTCCTGACCTCATGATCCGTCCGCCTCGGCCTCCCAAAATGCTGGGATTCCAGGCATGGGTCTTGATGTTTTTAAGACAGCTCTGGCCTCCGCTGGGTGAAGGATTCAGGGATGGGAGGCGGGCCGCCACCACCACCAAGGCAGGGCCGGGCCATTGCACCCACCTGGAGAGTTGGTAATGAAGGAGAGGGAGGAGCGGGGAATTGAGGGATGGAAGCAGGGAGCTCCCCTGTTGGATGGTGTGGGCATGGGCTGCAGTTGGGGGGAGCGGGCAGAGCAGTGCCTGGGTGGCCGGGTGGGCTCTTCACTGAGGTGGAGAGGGCAGGAGAGTCCCACCAGGGCCAGGCAGACATGTGCCCTGGCAGGCGAGCCAGGGCAGGGCACACGGTATTGACTGGAGCTTGGTGGGTAGGGTGGTGTGCGGCTACCAGGCCGTACCCTTGTGTGCAGAGGCTGTGGCACCTGACCTTTCTGAGTCTGGAGTATGGGTGGGGGTGCTGAGGAACCTGCCTGGCGCATGCACCCGCTCCCCATTGCCAGGGAGTGGAGTCTTGGGCCTGCGGCCGGACGCAGGCCTAGGGTGGGGCTGCCCTTGGACAATGTGGGGCCAGTGGTTTGGCTGCAGTTTTCTGTCTCACCTGACCACTCAGTGGGTTCGCCCAAGCATGCATGGCTGCGTGTGCCCCTCTGTATCTCTTAGTTCCCACCTGCCTCCTTTGTGGCCCGCCCCCGGCATGGGCACTTGTGGTCAGAACAGCAGTGAGGATTCCTTGTCTTTGCCCTTCCCTGTGTGGTTTCTGATGTTCCACAGTCGGGCGTCTCAGCCTCGGCACTGCAGACCTTTAGGGTGGCATCGTTCTTTGTGGTGGGGG